AAAAATTATGTTAAAAATGGAAAATAAAAAGTGAAATAAATTTAATTGAGAGTTATCCTTCGTCTGTCCCATTTTATGTGACACTTTTTATTTCTCGAGAATCAAATAGTTTAAGTTTGACCATAAATTTGCGTATGATATCTTCAATTTTTTAAAAATGAAATTTATATATTTGTAAACTACGTAAAAATCAAAATATTATAATTCATAATAATTAATAATTCAAAATATTTTAAAGATCTATGAAAAATTTAAGATCAAAGATAAACTAAAGAGAGTAAAAGGGGAGAATGGAAAGTAGAAAAAAAGAAAAAAAAACGAATATATAGAGAGAAACTGAGGAAAAAAAATCAGAAAAGTAATTATTCATGTGGGTTATTGTATATGTAGAAAGACACGTGTACAATTAATGAGCCACAATGAATTTTATAGTACAATTTGAAATGCTTTGTGTATAACTTGATAGTATCGTGTTCTTCCTCTAAAGTCTCACTTCTAATAAGGAGTAATATATATAAATCACAATAATTAACAATTCAAAATCTTTAAATTGAGACAGTTAAAGTAATATATATTTGGAGCTATTGTGTCTGGTAACTGTATATATGTATGAGTAATAAAAGGTAGTACACATGTCTTCAATATAGTGAATCATCAGACAGCTGGCAACATATAATACTCCTATTTATTCTGTACAGTTCTTTTTGCATGCTGTACAACTAATTTAATAAAGTCAAAAGTTAATGTACAAAATTCTTTGCACGTTGTACAATTAATTTAATGCAGTGTTAGTCCTTCTAACTGTCATTTCTAAATAAGAGTAATTTGAAATTGACTAAAGTCATCAATGGCCCCTTAAAGTTGTCCGCATAATTCACTTAGACATCTTAACTAGGACTTGTACCTATTAAACACTTAAATTGTTTAAAACATATACCTATTAAACACAAAACATTGATGTGGCAACTTAAGTGTACCTTACTTGACATTAGGCACGTGAACAGGTTCCAAATATCATTTTATTTTTATTTATTTTCTAAGAACTTATACCTTTTTTTGTTTTATTGATATTTGGCATTAAAATAATTAAAATTAATTTCTTGGTAAACCCAAATAATCAACCTCATCCCCTTTTCAGCCGTCTTCTTCGTCCATACTTTTTATTTTTTATTTTTAACTTTGCTATTTCTTTTATTTTCATTCTTTATACAATCTAAATCTACTAATTAATTTGATTTTGCAATAAGAAAGAAGATTTTCAGTCATTGAAGTACTTAAGAAAGTTAGTAGGACTCTGTTCATCTATATTTCTGACCACTTTGAACCGACATCACCACACAAATTAAAATATAAGTTAATTAAGCTTATTGACAATGATATCTTAAAATTTCATAGAATTAATTTGAGTATTCTCGATTTCTTGTCGCCGTTAATTTCAAAATGATTCACATTGATTTATTTTTCACAGGCATCTCAAAAATCAGTTTGCTAAGCTATTATTCACGAATAGATTTAATCCCCATAATTTATAGGAATAATAAGAAGAAAAATAAAAAATAATCTGCCAAAGGAGTCGAGAACGGCGAGTGCTTAAGGAAGAAGAAGAACAAGCAAAAGTTTTAGTAGGTGGGGTTGAAGTATTTAGGGTTGAAAACAGTACTTATTTTTTTATCTTTCAAAATTATAAAATAATTTTTTATAGTTAGATTGGGCAATAGGCCATGGGACAGGTGTCATAATTTTATTCGTAACTATTTTAAGCTACGACATGTGAGTTACACGCACAAGGTTTTATGTATTGATTGTCATTTTGTGTCTAATAGATATATATTTGTTAATAATAAAGTGTCTAATAGGTACTAGCCTTAGGAAATTTTTTAATATGGTTGAGGCCCAACCAACAATAGTTGTGTGAGGCTCCATTCAATTTTTGACACTTAAATTTGTGGGCCTCATTTTAACACCACAAAGAAAAATAATGCTTTGGGCAAGGTTCAAACCCATGACGCGTTCCTAAACATTGAACCCTTTAGCCATTGAGCTGCACTTCTCTATAGTGTCAAGGGGGTTTATTGTATAAATTTATTTCATAAAATCAGAATTTGACTTTGTATATACACTGTAATTTTTCGACGAAGGGGGTTCGGGTGAACTCCTTAGATCCACGCTGCTCCACCCCTGATCCTTAATGTTTGCGGGGAAGTTCAAAATACTTTCTTTAAGTATATATTGAATAATTTTGTGTTCTTAAATTTGTCAAAAATTAATATTGTTAGCTTTTGTTAAATATTAGTCATTTATATTTGTTTGAAAAGAATTTTTTTTTAATCACAAATGTCGAGAAAGACTCATCAAATACTCAAATAACACAAATTGTACCTCAAAAATTATGCTCCTTCTAATCATTTTTGCTTGTCTGATATTGACTTAACACACTTCTTAAGCAGCAATAAATAGAATATTCCTTCCGTTTCATAATAGTTGATCATATTTCTTTTTACATGCATACTAAGAAATTATTTATAAGAAGATGATTTTACTAATTCACTTCTTACAAAACTTCTTTGGAATTTTATAAATAAATGTGAACACTTTAAAAAAGAATTAATTGTCAGGGCAATATAGAAATAATTTAATTAATATTTTCTTGATTTAGTAAGGTAAGACAACCAATATGAGACAACTATTTTTAATAACATGATCAACTATTTTTACTTGTCAATTTTTTATTTGACACACGTATTAAGAAAATAATGATTGATATACTAAGTTTACCATTTTGTCCCTATTAATTGATAGAGTTCCAGACATATTACTCATTACATTTTTCAAAGACATTAATTTAATGTTTATAAATTGAGAGTATAATGTGAAAAACGAGAATTATCTTTTAATATAACACCCAAGTAAAAGTGAACGGAGAAAGTACTAAACTCGCTAAAAATATTAACTTCTTTTAGCCATGATTTCTGAAGTTGCAATTTTTGAGATTTTGGACCCGTTTGGCCCCAAATATATTTGAAAAAATAACTTGAGAAATAGTGTTTGGTCATACAACTTGTCATTACTTGGCAAATATATTTGTCAAATATCCAAGTTCTCAAATACTACAAAAAATTAGTATTTGGGCCAAGTTCTTATATTTGAGAATTTTTAAAAATTTAAAAATTACCCCAAACTTTTATATTTTATAAAAAACACCAACCATTTTTTAATCCAAGCAATATTTATCTACCAAATTACTCCACTAATAACTATTCCTCTCTGCTATCTATACAAAACTTGACAAAAAAGACACTTTATTTTTAATGGGTTATAATTCATCTTGAATCAGTGACAAAATTGAGTATGCGATTAATGCATTGTTCTTGCCCTTATTGTTATTTTGTGGTTGTTGATTTTCATCAATTATGCTATGAGATTATTTTTTCGGAACATGTAATTTTAATACAAACTTAAAGATAATTTTAATAATTTTTAGAACTCATGAGTATAAATCATATTTTATAAAATAGTCAAATGTTTCTCCCAAAACTTATGACGATGAAACTTCACCTAAAAATAATTTACCCAGAATATTTAAAAATCCGAAGCCAAATATTAGCTTGAAGTTTTGTGAGTTAATCCAAAAAAAACTCAAAAAACTTGAAATTAGTTGAAGATCAGATTTTGAAATTTTGATCATATTTCATAGTCAAACAAATATTTGATAATAAAATTTTAGATAGCAGACAAATAAAGAGAAAATGGCATAAATAGTCTCTTAACTATATGAGTAGGTCTAAAATGGTCCCTTAACTATACACTTGACAGATTTAGTTCTTTAACTATTTAAAAACTTATCAACTACACTTACCAATTTTAGTCTCTTAACTATAAACTTACCGATTTTAGTCCTTTAAGTATTCAAAAACTTATTAGGTTTTGATCTTTGTCCATTTTTTAAATACAAATAGCTTAGGTTTATATTAACAGAAATCTTCGTAAAATTGAATCTTTAATCCATTTTTAAGTTGTTTCTCTATCCCCACCTTTTTTTCTTCAAACTACTTTTATGAAAAGAACAATAACGTCAACGATTCAAAATAAAATTAATGAAGAAAGAAGATATAAGTCCTAATTTTATTTAATGGAGGATATAATTAAGCATATAATTGTTGTTAATGACTTGAGCCCACACTTGAATATGCTAATCAATGCGGATTTTATTTAATTTACTAAAATTTCTTTACGTAAAATAAAATGAATAGAATAATTAAATTGATCTAATTTTTTTTTTAAAAAGAATTGCAAATCTACCATTTTATAAATTTCAATTTCTGAAAATTAAATAAATTCCGTTCAATGAAGTCGTTGGAGTACAAACTTTGAATTTAATTGGTAATAATTTTTTTCTTTTTATAATAAAGTTTAGCATTATCAGTCATTAGTAGAAATAATTTGCTTCATTTTATCCTCTCTTGAATAAAATTATGACATATTTTTTTTTCTCGTGAATTTTATTTTAAATCGTTGAGGTTAAGGTTTTTCACATAAAGTTAATTTTTAAAAAAAGTAGCAGAGGGAGAACCAACAGAAAAAATTGCTAAAGAAATTTAATTTCTCGAGATATGAGTTCCGTTAATATAAACTTAAGTTATTTGTATTTAAAAAATGGATAAATATTTTGAATCTTTTTAAGATACAGAAGGGATGATTTTTGTAATATCTCCAGGTAGGAGCATTACTACTTCCTTTTTAGTTGAATCTTGTCTTCTACTGCCTTCCTCCTTACGGATATCTGTGCCCATTCCTCCCTTTTCTCTCTCTTTCTTCTGTACCATTTCTGCAACTCTGTCACCTATAGACCACATCCCCCAGCTGACACGTGTCCTTTTTCCGTTTTGAGATTCGCCTCAAACTCACTCTTCCCCATACCCCCAAATACCTTCTCTCAAATCTTGCTTTGCCATGTTTGTCAATCTTTCTTTTTTGCTCTCTGTTTCATCTACATTGCACTAATGGCGTCTCTAACGCCTGGTATTTTGCTTAAACTCTTGCAACATCTTGATGATAAAGAAACCAAAGTTGCTGGCCAACACCGCTCTGCTCTTCTTCAGGCATGTCCAAAAAAAATACTAATCTTTTTTTATATTTATAACAATGCTGGTATATCACTTGAATATTTTTTTTAATGGGTTTTCAGGTGATTAGTATTGTTCCTTCACTTGATGATGATCCATGGAAAAGCAGGGGATTTTATTTAAGGGTATCAGATTCTCAACATTCAGCTTACGTTTCTGTATCAGAACAAGATGTTGAGTTGATACTGAGTGACAAGATCCAACTGGGTCAGTTCATTCATGTTACTCGTCTTGATTCCGGTTCCCCTGTTCCGGTTCTTCGTGGAGTCAAGCCGGTTCCCAACAGGCGCCCATGTGTTGGGGATCCTAAAGATTTGATTTCTAGTGATTTTCTCACTGCTCGGAACCGACCCGACCCGAAAAGAGGGAAGAAAAATGGTGAAGTGAAAAGGGTCGAGGCGAAAACCAAAATAAACAGAGTGGTGTTGAGTGAGGATGTAAAATCAAGAAGACAGTCCATTGGGAATGGGAAGGTGGATGGGTTAGAGATGAGGAGATTGAGTTTGGATTCAGTTAGAAGAGGATGGGATCGGAGCCCCGGTGAGAAAAATGGTGCTGGAGCTACTACACCTAGGTCCAAATCAAAAACCGGGTTTCCGGGTTCGGATTCTGTAAGTTTACCCCCATAAATTAGTTGTTGATGAACTTTTGGCAGAATGTGACTTCATTTAATTTAGGCTTGACATTGTTGTAAAGTTTTATCTTTTTTAGTGATTAAGTTGGTGCTTTAATGCTGTTTGTTAGAATAGTTTTTTTTTTGTTTTCTCTTTTAGGTCAATTTTCTGATTCAATTAGTAAACCTATGGCAAAAATGGTTAGACAATAATACACTAGGTTAATTTCAATGTCCTTGTCTTTTTCTTTATTTGGTTCTTCAAAGAGATCACATTAAGTTCATGTTTAGATTAAACTTAAAAATGTTGGTTCTTTCTGTACAATAATGGATGGATTGGACTGGATACTGGATCAAACAGTTCATGCTAAATCGAGATTTTATAATGCGTTGTAGTAGCTTGGCTATTTATCTCCATGACAATGTTAAGAACTGTATCCCTGTAGACTGTAGTTATATGGCTTGCTTCAGTATGTTAGTCTTATAGAGTACGGGTGGTGAGTCATCACGAATCATTTTGTTGGTGTTGTTTATTGGATGAATGTGAAACTTTAGTTAGTCTCATATAATATTGACCAAGTCTTTTTAAGAGAAAATCCATGCCTATGTTTTGTTGATTGTGTTTGAATCGGATGAATCGATGTTTTGCAGCTTCCTTCTGTGAAGAAGCCTTCTTTAGATAAAGTTTCAACACCAAGACATTCAACTGCAAGTATTTCACCGCTTACAAGTAGGAATAATATTGTGTCACCAAGGTCAGTTAGCAAGCCCACTAGAAAAGATGTAGAGCTTATTGTGTCACCAAGATCAGTTAGCAAGCCTTCTAGAAAAAATTTAGAGCTTATTGTCTCACCAAGAGCAGTTAGCAAGCCCGCTAGAAAAGATGTAGAGCTTTCACAAGATGAGACTCTTCCGTGCAATCTGACAAAGGTGGCCCTCAGTTTCAAAAATTGGTCTGACTCAAGGATTTCATGGAGTTCACTTCCATCAACAGTTCGTGATCTTGGCAAGGTATGTGAAGAATTAATGTTCTAGTTTTTTAGTATATGATAGTGGTATGCTTGCCTATCAAATTGTGCATTATAATCTCTTCAAGAAGTTGTGTATCAAATTGTGAATTATAATCTCTTCAGGAAGTTACAAGTTTAAGGAATGTTGCATTTCTATCTGCTATGCATGCATTAGAAGAAGCTGCTGCCGCAGAAGGTATCATCCAGTGCATGAGGTAATGGTTCAGCTTTATTTCGATGCCTCTACTTCGCATGTATTTTACCAGTACTTGACATGAAACTACTGGAATTTAAGCTCTGCCTTTGAATATTTGAATCATATTATTCTGTTGATGTGTATTTATAATTTGTTCGCTTAGTTCTAGAATACCCCTGTGTGGGGACAATCTTGATTAGATAGATTTATTGCATTCCACCCGATTATTCATCCTACAATGTTATCTTGCATTAGGTTCATAATTTATATATTGGTACCATGCAAGATTATGTGGTTTTTGCTGCCTTTTGAGTCGTTGCATTCCTTTCTTTAGCAGTGTCTCATTTGGCTTGCGTCATACCCTTATATGCACCTAACCTACAGGCTACACATCACTTGTCATTACGAGATATTATTTGTCCTTTTGGAAATAAAGTAAAAGCGATCCTTAGAGACACGTTTTATCTAGTCTCCATCATTTTCTATGTACAAGCAAGAATGGTTGTATTAGATCACCTTTTTGTATGTTATATTTTCACTCTGCAACACTCTGATCACATTGACAATGTCCTGAATCAGCCTTCAGTTAGTATTGAATGACGAACTTCTTCGATCTATGTGTTTAGCTGGATATCCCATTCTCTAGTTTTTCAGTGAACATAGTTCAGGTGTTGTTTGCCAAGAATTGAATATTATCTGAACACTGGTCTTCTTTATCGAAACAAATTATCTGAATGCTTTCATGTATTAATTGTGGTTTGAAATCACATTGGCAGTGGTAACTTTCTTCAAAACCTGTGTTCTACCCTTAAGACATAGAAGGTAAGCTTCCTCCTTACACTTCTCTACAGTATGTTTGCAGAACTATGTGAATCATCGAAGAAAGTACCTGCTGGACAATTGGTTGAGCAATTTTTAAACCTTCATCAAAACATGCAGAAAGCAGCGTCTCTTACCAAATCATTGGTGACGAGAACTCCTGAAGCGAAAGGCAATGACAAGTTCTGTCTGCAGAATGCCTTTCCAGAAATTTGCCATAACGTTACCAATAAGAACACGGCCTCTTGGATTCAAGCTGCAATTGACTCCGATCTTTCCAAATTCTGTTTGTTCATAAAGGAAGACAAGAAGGGAAATTTGGATAGTGAGAAATCTCATTACATTATACTAGAGAACACTCCAAAGATTAGTGAAGCAGAAAACCATTCGCCTATAATCAAGCAAAGCACTAAAACCAATGGGCCATCTGGTCCTGATTCTAGTGGAAGAAGATCAGTATCTAAACCAAAGCAGCATTTACCAGCTACAAGAAGAACAACTATTGAAAGGGAAGAGTGGTCCAAAGGGAGTGGGCTGAAAGAGGCTGCAAATTTAGCAGAAAAGTTGCTTTCTTCATCTCGAGCTTGGTTCTTGAACTTCTTAGAAGATGCATTGAGCAAGGGATTTGGGCTGGATGCTGTAGACGGAAATTCTGAAATTGTAGATCTTCTTGGTCAGCTCAAAAGCGTCAATCAGTGGTTGGATGACATGCTTAAGTTAGGTAACAGAATAGATGAGAGGGTAGAAGGATTAAAACAGAAGTTATATAGGTTCTTGCTCGATCATGTTGACTCCTCGATTCTTGGAGGCAAGTAACCAGCTATTGACTACTAACATCCTGAAAATTCGATTGTTCGTTACAGATGCTATTAGATTAGGTATGTTCCAATGACCTGAAATATGGTCATTAACACCATTGGGGTTGATTAGGCTCTAAGATATTTAGAGAGGAGTAGATATGACATACTGCTTCAGTATCCAAATGTAAAGAGGAATTTATCTTCATATTAAACTGGAGAAAGAAAAACTTTTTCATCACCAAAAGTTTGTCTGTCTTGTCATTTTTGCTTGTTTAATCTTATATCCACACTGCCTCAACTAACTCAGATTCGCACGGCGTAATACTTGAGATTAAGATGGAAATTCAGGCTTATAACTACTTGTGAATTCTTGAATTGCTTTGGCTTTTGCCTGTGAACCTTCTTACTCAAAAATATACATGGAAGGCTAAAAAAAAAAAAACATAATAATCTAATTCCAATAGAAGGTGAATAAGAATAATTTAGAAAAAATGAAAGCTAACATTTAATAGAGTCAAAGAGAATCTATTTTTGGTGCATTTTTGGATGTCTTGTCAGTAGCAGCACCCTTTGACAGAGCTTTCATCCCTTTGCAGGACTTCATGTGGGCATGAAGTTTCTCTGGCTTGAATGGCTTTCCACATTGCCTGCAACACACATTCATAAATTAAATACTATGCTGACATTTAAGAAACGATACTCCCTCCAAACCACTTTACTTGTCGAATTTATTAAAAATTCATAGTTCAAAATAATTCTTATCTTTGAAAATCAAGATATAATTAGGTATTTGTATATTTTTCTAATTTACACAGAAAATTTAAGTGAAGAGCGCTCACAAATTGTGATTACTTTGATCAACTCTCTTTTTTATTTATTGAAGAGAAATAAACATTTTAAATAATTAAAGATAAAATATAAAAGCATAATAGTTAAAAAAAAAACATAATTCTTTTAAGAGGTGTGTAAATAAAAAATGTGAGAAGTAAAGTGATCCCAATGAAGTTATTTAGATAAATAATTTTATGATTAAATAGATGTCTTTTTTAAGGTACCATGGCAGTAAGTAGAATGTGTCAAACTTTGTGTATTTGTGCTTTAATTTAATGACATACTTTAACTTTCGTGTTCACTTTTATTTATCATTTTTAAATTTGATGTATTTATTAAAGAAATATTTATTGATATGGTTATTTTATTATAATATTTCTATTAATTGATATTTAGTATTAGGAATTGAGAAATGATATAAAAAGTAAGTAACAAATGCTAAGGATAAAACATGAAAAAAATAATTATCTTTTTTCTTGGTATATTAATCTATGTTGAAATAGTTGACAAGTAAAAGTGAAAGAGGGGTGTACTTAGCAACAATTTCAACGTACATTTCCATTTTTAGCATACAAAGAAAAGACAATTATTATTATTTTTCATTTACCCTTAATATTTGTTACCATTTCTCATAACATTTTTCAAGACTTAATATTAAATATCAATTAATAGGATAGTGTGGTAAAATAATCATGTCAATATTTTTTTAAAGAATGTGTTAAAATTAAATATGACAAGTAAAAGTGAACCGATGATATACTATTTCAAAATAAGTGCTATTTTAATTCAGATATATCCGTTAAAACTTAAAAGTATTGATTTCTAGAAAACAAGAAGGGTTTATACTAACTTATCCCTAATCAAAGAAAAACTAATTAATGATTTATGATAGTTTTGAAAAATAAATCAATTTCTTCTTTAAATCCTAAAACATCACATATTTTAAAATAAAATGAAAAAAAAAAACTAAAATACCACTTATTTTAAAACGAAAAAAATAATATTTAATTTAGTTATTATGAAGGAACTTACGAGCAGTTGGGTCCATGGATTGGCTTATAATTAGCAGAAACTGATCTACGACTACCAAATTCACTTTTATTCTTTGACATACTGAATGCCCCATCACAGCTTTTCCTGCAAACAACAACAAACTAATTAAGCTACTCACCGGCGGATTCAGAAATTTGACAAAGGGTGTGTAGATATTCTACTCAGTTATATGAGTGTATGCATAATCAGAGACGGAGTTAGGTGGAGATTTGTGGATTCAAACGAACCTAATAACTTCTCCGTATATTCAGTATTTATATTAGAAAATTAAAGGCATAAATATATATGTAATTAACTTGTGAAATGTAAACCCTCTAACAAAATTAATTGACAGCGCAAAACTCAAAAGGGTGGTGAAAATGCTTTTCATATCAGTGTAAATTTCTCTTTTTTTTCCTTTTTAGAGGAAGAATCTGAAACTTCTAACCTTGACTCCGACTCTATGCAAAATTATATATACAATTCATAATAGCTAACATTTAACTTGGATACAAACTACATACGAAAAAATGTGTACCAGATCACCCTTAAGGTGGTTCCATGCTACTTCAACATTGGTCTTAATTGAAACAACGTTTAAGTATTTCGACACCTAATAGTAATAAATAAAAACGTAAAATGCGAAAATTACCTTGCATTAGTCTGTTGTTGATTCCAAGCAGTCCCAAAAATCCTCTGAGATCCTCCAATTTTATCAGCTTTACAGATCTCTGATGAAAAACTAACTGTTTTTTCACCACCAGCAGAAGTTTTATTTTTTTTGAGTGGAATAATTCCAGAGTCATTAGTATCAACAGCGCCACAAGTAATCAAATTCCTGAAAATACTTGAAGCTCCATTTGAATAGCTTCTACTCTTATTGAATTTGGGAATTTTCGATGTTTTTTCAGTATTCTGACTAGTGTCTATTTTTTCTTCACTATCCTCTGTTTTCTTCTTGGTTTTCATCGAACCAAAAGAAGAAATAGAAGAAGAAGAATTAGAAGAAAAAGAAGAATTGTTCTCGATTTTGTTACCAACTTTTTCTTCTTCTTCGAATTTTGGTGAATTTGTGGTGAGTGTGGATGTTTCAGAAGAAATATTATTTTGAGAGTCTTGTTCGATTTCTAAAGAGATTTTCTTTGATGAATCCATGAGAAAAACTTGATCTTGATCTTCTTGTTTTGTTTGTTCCTTTTGCATGATTGCTGTTGTTACTTCTTTTTCACCACATGAAACATCTGCAATTTTTTTTTTTATAAATGTGAAGTTCAATTAATAATACTATTTCTTGAATAAGAATTAAGAGATGTTAATACTGATTAATACTCTCTTATTCACTAATAAATCTATAAATTTGCCTTTTTTGGAAATGTGATGCTAAGTAAGTACATAATATTGATTGATATCTTATTCACTAAATCTATAAATTTACCTTTTTTGAAGTGTGAGTACAAAATATTGATCATTAATTATTGAATTTCCTTTTCCACACTAAATTGAAGTGAATTTATGCTAAAAATATTAGGCAATATTCATCATTTAATGAGAATAGACAAGTAAATTTTTCTCTTCCAAAAGCTATCACTTGTCTTTTGAAAAAGTATAGAAATGTTGTACAATGTGCTTAATTATATGTACCATGCTGCCATTTTAAATTAAACCTCAATTATGAATTATACAATTCCACTAATTGTACCCTTAGAATATGATTAAAATGCCCAAGTCCATAATATTGTTCACAGCATACTTAAAGTTGATTAGCAAACATGTTGGTCATCTAAGAAATAAATTAACTTATATGCTTGATAATATTTAAAAAAATTTACACTACCTAATTTGTGATTACCTTCTAGTTTTGCGACTTAGTGTTACAAATAGTTAGTTTACCGACTTTAATGAGAGTAAGTTTAGTGACCATCTATCGAAAGTAACTCAAAAAAAGGGATAGTTACCTTTAATTGTGGTGATGGATGGAATTTCAGATCCTTTAAGGACATATTCATTGTCCGATATTGGAGTAATGAGATCTTCATCCAATAAGTCTTGCCATACATATCCTGTTTTGTATTTCCTGCATCATCATAATATTGACTCCCTCAATTTATTTTTCTATTTTTAGGAAATAAAATAAAATCCCAAATTTCCATATCATATAGTAGTATATATTTCCAGCACAATTGATTGAGAATTGATCTTTAATGAGGTGAGATATGATTGATTCTCGTGACTTCCACTAGAGGATCAGAGCATTAAATTTAGTACTTTGTCATATGAGATTTGTACCTCCATTCTGATTTTAATTTACAGGATACAAAATTTCAAATAAAATATATGACGAATATATTCATGTAGAGGAGTTTAACTAGGCAGTTTGACGTATTATTCACTATGCTTTATTTATTGCCCGAGAATTCTTCTCAAGAGGGTTATTATTTGACACCTCGATATTGACTCATTACTCTGTTACTCTTTAGGAGGGATCAAACTCTTTATAAACTACCGATACATTGAGAATCCAAGACTTTTCCTAAAACACAAATTCTCAACGTGTTTATACCATGATCAAGTGATATATAGTTGAGGGGAAAATGTATATTGATTAATTATAATTAAGTGATAAAAATGTATGCATAAAAATTTGGTGAACACTAGCACTGAGCCTCCTGTAAGTTTTAACTTGTACTATGAAATTTATACCACGATTCTGCTTTTAATAGATATAGATAAAGATTCAAAATTTCAAATGCAATATTATCACATCTATATATCCATGAATTATAAACTCTTAATTCGTTTATAGAAATATTTTACTAAGCAATCTAACGCATTATTCACTATAACTTACCAAAAATTCTAACTGATTGAGTTATTTAACACCTCGATATCGACTCATCACCTATGATACTCTTTAGGGGTATCCATTTGCATTTTGAGAGAGAAGAACACTAAGCTAATTTTTAAGCAAACAATTTCATGAAATTATAATAAAAACTTGAACTAACCTCTTATATGACCAAGCAAAAGATTCAGGCATGTCTTTTCCTCGCAACTCTCCCAACCATCTCTTAATATCTATAATTATCCAATCATTAATGGAAAAAAACCTCAATCATCTATTTTCACAATTAAAAGAAAAATAATCTTTATATAATTAAATTATAGAAAACAAACCTTTGAGACGAATGCCATTTCTAGAGAAATGATGAACTCTAATGAGATGAGGATGTTCAATACGACCTTTTCTACTCAAAAAATATATGATATGAAGTCTTCTCACTTCTCCTCCTCCTTGATTTTGTCCTTCCATTAATCTTCTCCTAATTCATTTTTACAATAATTAAACAAACAAAATTTTAACTAAACAAACTGAATTCTTCTTTCTAGGCATGCTTTAATATAATATTAACAAATTCAAGAAAGTAATAATAAAAGTAATTAAATAATTAAAGATCAAGAATATGGGACAAATCTATGTATGCCGGCCTGCTCTAAAGATTAGAAGAATTAAAAAAGGGAATAACGAATTTTATCGTGCTTTTAACCAAGAACTTAACTAATTATATATTAAAAGAAACATGTTTGTAAAATATTTTTTCTCGCACATTGGAACTCCGATTAAATCGAAATTCACGCCTGAAAGTCTTATCACGTTCTCTAATAAAGATGACTTCGCATCAAGATGCACTCAAATCTGAGACCTCTGATTAAGGATGAAGGATGACGGAAGGAATAACACTCAACCACCTTGTTGGTAAACATGTTTGTAATTAGTATATGTATATATGTGCAAGTGCAGGGCCTAGCTAGTGTAGTTCAATTTATTTAAAGAGTATAATATAAGATGTAAAGTTATTGAAATGATAGAAACTCTTACACACTTATCAAAATAAACATCATTGGATTTGGAGATTACCTTATAATGCTTTGTTTCTTTTGAAGAATGAAAGAGAAAAAGAAAGTGATTGTTTTTTATCAAGAAAAAAAGAAGAAGAGGGATTTGAGGGGTGGGTTGGGGTGAAGAAGTAGATCTAGAGCTTCTGAACCATATATAGAAGTAGGAAAATTAGGTGTTCCAAGAAAGTTTTATCTGATTTCCCGCGATATGCTCAACTTATACAAAGAAATAAAAATACATATATATACACACAAATGTATATGTATTTTTTGTGTGTGTTGGAGGTTGGGTGGGTGGGGTGGGGTA